TTATCAGTCATTGCGACCGCAGTTCCTGTATATGGCCAATATGATCGATTTGTCAGAAACCAAGGTTAAGGGTGGCATTTGTTATTGCGGCAAATTTAAGCTTAGAAAGTTGGTACACCCACTGTCCTGTGTGATCTGGATGGGTTTGTGTTGTTGTCATCACTCCGATCTCTCCTTCTGAACATTTCCAATTGTTGTGATGCAACGCCCTTTTATTCCAGCCCATAAGCTAAGATCTCTTTTGAATGTCCCTTTTTACTGGTGGTGAGTGATGCCTCACACATAGGATATCAACTGCCAAAGACCTTGGAGTCTGTTTATCCCAAAGCCTACCTTAGCCTAGCAAAATCGCGAACATGTCACAAGGTCAGAAAGCTATAATTTTATGCGCTCAGACGTCAAATGATTTCGGCAGCACGTACTTTGAGTTCTAACTTTGCAACTGCGTGAATTTTACCTCTTTGGCTTTGCTGTACGCCAGTAATCTTCCATGAGTCACTCAAAAATGACTACACCTTGCCTATACAGTTGTTAAACCTTACATCCTGATGCGGTGGACTGTCATGACAGGTAGTTGTTGGTTTTATTATCGAAAAAAGCTTGTAGGTGCTGGTACTCGTTTTCCCGCCCTACTACCCACTACATGGTGTTCTATCGAAAGCGCAATCTGTTTCTTCCACAAGCTCTGGAATTTAAAGTCTTATTTTCTCATACTGCTTCCAGCCACAATTCTATTCAAAGGTATTTGTTATGCCCACTTGTTGACTCAATGCAATTTTGCAGTATCATGCGCAGTTGCTTGCTCGATTGATACGCTAACAGGTTTTGCATTCGACACTTTATTTGTTTTTATCCATTAGCCTCCTTTATTTCTCCTTAAAAATAATGAAAATGTATCCACTCAGGTGTATAAATTCTATTTCCAGTAGACTTGACTTCAATCATATGCATCAGTACTAACCACTAATATTTCCAGCAAACTGCAGGGTCTCTTCTCTAGGCTGGATGGCGCATGCTGCTTCTGTATGCATTTTTAGTGCATGTTTTAGTGTTCTTCTTCCGTGCAATCCGCAATTGGACAGGTACCATCTGGCATTCTTTGTACTCATCTACTACAGGCACTAGGCGTAGATATATATGTTTTTGTCCACTACAGCTTCATTCCAGTTGGCCGGGATGGTCCCTGTTCAAACAATGCGATCAGCAGTTTGAAACGCACTTATCACAATTCGTGATTATAGCCGGTTCAAGAGAGTGCAGATCAGTAGCTCGAAAATGACTAAGGGCTATAATCGCCTTCTGGACCGCAGCCTGCCATGGAGATACACACTAACTGGTTATGTTTCAGCCTATACCACCCCAGTGGGAAGGGGTCCAGGAGCATCGGGCCAACTGAAATGCTCTCGAAAGTGTTGCGCCCAACAAGTAAGTTTGCACGCCTTTTTGTGAATCAGGGTACCCGCACCGTTTTTGGTGGTCTCGGTTATGCTTGATTTCTAGGGATCAGTGGTGCAAATCAGTTGGAAGAGCTTGCGTTAATTGCCTACTGCTACCACCGCCTGCATTGCATGATTTTACTTTTCCAACGGGGTTCTCTGTCAACATGCACGCTCCGTGCTAGTTCGTGTTGATTGGCTCGTCTGCTTACCCTTTGCTTACAGCCAACCGCATATTTTATTCTGTACTCAATCAGGTTCATGGATACTTCGGATATTTAGTGACTTATGCTATGACTTCTGATAGTACCAAAAACAGAGTTTTCCGCATATTAATCGGCATCCGAGTTACTATTCACAAAAGCTTTCTATCCTTAGGACAAGTGGGTGAAGTTTCAGTGCTCAGGGCACCCTGAAAGGCTTGTTTGACTGGAGACTGCTATGACTTTGCAGTTACCAGTGGAGGGAAATCCTGGTATATCTCTCGGTAAAGTTTATGATAAATTGGCCATTTGCCGAGGGATAACGAAACTCGATGCACCTATTCCAGAACGAACGACAGTCGAAGGTAGAAACACGCCACTTAAATCTTACGATGGTGTGATCTTTTAGTATTGATCCGGCCATAGGAGGATGCTGAATGGTATCTCGGTGCCCCCAGGGTTTAATAGTGGGGATGTTAAGAAAAAGCCGGTGCTCCGCGCACAACTACAATAGACGCTCGCTGTGGTTCCTCTGCCAGTTCGGACTTAACCCTTTACTGCATGGAGTATCTGCAGTCTAAAGCGAAAGCTTGCTGATTTCCCTCCAAATCACTCTGCTGTTTTGGTGTTCCAAAGATGATTTTGCTGTCAAACAGAACGACAGGCAATCGAATTAAACCGTAAATGTCTGTAATGCCAAGGGAACTTACGCTTAATATGAACAACCTTGTGAAAGCTACTTGGTAGATAATTTTCTGGTATGTTGCCTACAGACAGTAACTTACCATTCAACTCGGTAACTGAGGAGTGCAGAGGGCGCAGCTGTGTATTCGTAGGCCTCGCTACATAAGCGGTATCCCAATTGGCCCACTTATTATCACTGTGGTCGACCTGCTTGGCATCATTACAGCTGCAGTCGGTAGGGTCATAAGTGAAAACCCCAAACAAACGTCGTCTAGTGCTGTATTGTGACTATAGTTGATGTCCTCAGACAGGCTCAGCACACACGACTGCCCGCGGGAATCCAATCAACCAATGATGATTCAGCTTTAGAGCTGAGTACAATACCTACCCCCAGCTTGACCCCTGAGTGTAGCATCAGCGTATCCGGTAGCGTGTAAGCAATAGCGAGAAGACTCCGGGTGTAGTTGGTTCGACAACACCGTGAGTGTCATTGCCGCTAGTTTCGGACACACAACGTTCGTCATTACTTAGGTTGTCCGAAGTGCATGGGAGTGTATCCTGTTGACCTAATTGTCTTAGAGTGCGAAGGTTGAACGTCAGTTGTTGTGAAGTTCTCTGAGCTGGGCAACTTGGTTGCAAACGTTTCGCCACCTCTCGAGGTGGCATCTTCAGTGCGGGAGTGATGGCAGTTAAGTAGCAGTAGCTGGTAGAAAGCAAACCCAACAATGGGTACGGTCAGCAACCACTCCGTTCCTTATATAGGCATACGGGGCCATTAATTTTGCCTCGCTCTCATTGGTGAATCCTTGTGTTTAGCGGTTGTGCTCGCGTCGTTGTCATTGGCTGTGGAAATGTTGTTGCCACGTGGTTGGGAGTATCGCACTCGGATTGGTGCAACGCCGCCAACGAAAGGGGACAGTGTGGCCTTACAAGGAACTGTTGCCGATAGGCGTCCAGTGGGTGGTGCGGGAAGGAAATTACAGATGGGATGACTCCAGTAACATGGCGATTGCTGTCGATTAAACTGAGAATTATCGAAGAAAGGCTAGTAATGAGACCCGGGAGGCGAGTAAGGAAAACAAGGGAACGAGAAACTAAAAGCCTCTAGCAGTGGTATGTTTTCGCTTCTCCGCCCTGGTGTATGCAGCAGATAAGGCGGCCCTTACTAATCTGCGCGACGGCCGATGAAGAATGTGGTAGAAGTTTGGAAAAGTGGTGATGGCTGTACCTGGGCTGAGACACTGCCCAGACCTAGACAGAACGATTATGGTCATCAACCAAAGTCTTTGATACAAAAGTCTGTCCGCAAGACAGCGTATGTGATAACGATTCGATTTTACAGAAATGGACGTCATCCCATTCCAAACCTTCAACCTGAGGGACCAGAAGGCTGAGTTTATCTGACTCTTAACCACTGACCGGTCTGTTAGGAGCAGCTTTTAAGAGACCCAGGAGTGCCAGCTAGTTTAGCTCAGTGGATTTAAGAGACACTCAGACCACTGAACAACAGTAAGGTAATGTCTTGTTGTGACGGTATTCACACGTTTCGACAAGTGTTGCGCCGTTCAATCGGTGCATATTCTTACGCAAACGCACTTGGTCTTACAAATCACTATGGATGCATCGGCATCGGCAACGTATCTTTGCTTCGTGAACGAACGAGTGATTCAGTTGAAAACGTGCGATGTAGCGCATCTGTCGGGAATGCTATTTATATGTGGCTACAAGAATTCCATGGCAAAACTCGTTAGGGGCGCTCTTTTTGTACGGTAGTCATATGAATACGTGTTTTTTCGACCCGACTGAGACTAATACTGCGTGCCTTTCAGTGAGTTCTACGTGCCTGCTAGCTGGGGTGGTTAATCACTGACAGGGACGCGCAAATGATCCACATACTTTAAACTGCTTATGTCATGCATGCCCCTTTTGTCCTTGTAAATGATTACAAATGTTTGGTGATGGTTTGTTCAAAAGGAACATTAACCTATGGTCTCTTGTTTCTTAGATGGATCCGGAACATTAATGAATCGCAAAGCTTACGTGAGCTTATTTTTTCGTTTGCCAGGCGTTTATGGTATGAAAAACTACTGGTTATTGCCAAAGTGTTATGTTTTAAGAAGCGCTGACAGTGGATATTTCTGTGTACTAGGCAGCTTAACCACTGATAAAGTAATATTTCTGCAATTCAAGCGAGCCATGTCGTGATACTGCCAACGAATATGGTGTTACCCACCTATGCACAGGACGAATTACAGAATAAATAGTGTGTTGCACCAGGTTTGGCCTCATGTGGTAGATCAGTTCATAATGCTTGATTTGCTTGCATTAAACTAGTCTTATTCCTAGGTTTGTCATACTGAAGACTCCGGGATGTCTGTTATTTACATCTGTATATTCCACTCTAAATTGTACCCTAGGCGGCAAGCATTTGGATCAAATCCCACATGGACCATCCTACTTAGCATTGTAGATATCCTGTAATGGAAAGAGTGATGAATAGGTCAACAAATAAATCAGATGCAACCGAAAAACGAGCAAAACGACGGTTAATCAGTGGAAGCCGATTAGGCATTCTTGAGTAACCTAAGAGATAAAGTTTGCTCAATAAAGAAGTGGTTGCAAGTATTAAATGCTGATAAAACGAGTGAAGACTTCAGCGATTTATGCTATCACTTACCAATGATGAACAGAAGTTCGACGATGATATCACAGATAAGCAGATCTTTTCCATCAGTGTCCAAAGAAAATACAGCGTTGTAAGGTACCATGATGGCGATATAAAAGGTGCAAATTAAGATCATCCAATCCCACACAATCCTGAAAATACTATAGTGCAGTAGAATGAATCTCGATGTATGCACGTCCTGAACTTTGTAGTCTGGAATTGTTTGAAACTGAAGGCAGAAAAGTGTAACGAAACTAAAGTAAAATTCATGAACATTGTTGCATAAGAATTGCAAGTCGATATACCGCAAGTTTTAGTCAGGTTTTTGAACACATTATTAAAAAAACACCCGAATTTAGGGTATTATACTTGGAGGCATGCTGAACAGATGTAATGCAAAGTATATATCTTTCTGTTGAGCACATCAAACTTCGCTCCATTTTTGATGTTCATCTCACAAGCATCAGGAATGTCCAGACTGACTCAGCCTGTGTTTAATTAGACTTTAAGAAAATGAGCTACTTTTTTACGGATACCAAAAATTTGGGTAAAACTGCACACAGTAAACGCACTACACTGTTCTCTCTTTAGGTTATATGATGTGCTGAAAAGCGCACGTGGTTCTCACTGTTTATGCACCACGTAATTGTTTTCTAAAGGTGGTCCTTCTAATGAATGCTTCTTCATTGCGTTCTAGGAGCACAGAGCTTAAACCTTATTCAGTGGGAAATGGACACATTCGACTGGTCGCGGTTTCTGCCGGGATACACAGTATGAACTGCATAATACTATAGAAACTCGTGAATGAATCCACTAAGTTTGCTGGCTTTTGTAACACACTACGTGTGCTTAACACGAGTTCGCAGCGACGCTCAAGTTTCTTCGCGTATCTGCAGTGATTAATGCGAATATTTTAATTACCAAAATATTTGTAGGTAGCATTACGGTTTAAATGGTTTCCTTGTATGGGCCTAGCTTCCGAACCTGCGTTAGCTCATACATGTTAAGAGACGGTAGGGAACGCTGCAAATGCGAGTATTGCAAGAAAATTGCTGCTTACTTTTACTCATAAGAAAGCTAGTCATTGTATCATATTCAAACTTAACAAATCCCATTGAAAGTTAAAACAACTTGTTCCCACCATAATTCCAAACAGGAAAATCAGAAAACAGATCGTGAGATGACGTCGCCATTTCATGCATTCTTATCACTCACACACACGATGCAGCAATGATATGTAAATGAACAACCAATAATGTCAAAGAGATCATATATAGCTCCAGATTTGCGCTAAGAATTTGAGCTCTCTAATAAATAACATATACGGTGATTTCCGCGAGCATATTGAAACCAAATATAGATGAATAGGATTATTGGTTGCTTGATAATATCCGATGATCAAAGTATGATTAATGTGTTAGCGTCTTAGCTTCAGCGATAGTGCATCACAGAGAATAAGAACAACAATCACGGCAGTTCCCGGTGTTGAGAATACTGGCTGTCAAGGTTTATTCAAGATTCACATAAACTGCTCTCAGGCGATCAGGTAGTAAAGAAGTCCTGCCAGAAGCTCAAGGAAACTCTTCGAAACTTTCCTCCAAACGAAGATTTCTGAGCTCTAATTAATGATATCCATTCCGTACTAGCATGTCTGACAGTCACGCTGTTCTCAGAGCAATGTAACTGAGGAGATTGAACGCCTGAAAAGCAATATTTTCATCATAATCACTGCTTAGGAAACACCAGGTGCTTTTCTCTATCCAATTTTAAGATGGAATGCTGTTCCTGCCATTCATCACTATACATCCATTTGGTCTTCTGTACTTGACTGCCATATAGGATTTCCTAAGCGGATCCTATATAAAGCTCAAACTTTACGCTAGTGAGATTTCACGCACAGCGGCAAGTCAGTCAGGTGCGCACAAACTTGAGCTGGTGTAGTATGTTCCATCTTCTGCTACCAAGGAGGAATAATGCTGTCTTTACGGCACGCATCGACAGTTCACTTCAATCCATTTGTGCAGTTAAACTCTGACAACTGCATTAAAGTGAAGTTGTTCCCGTGTACCCAGGATGGCAAAGTGACTGAAACAAATGAATGCGATGGCGTAGTAGAGAGCATGTGAAAATGCAGTCTCGTATTTTTGGCTGCGGCGCTCAGATGTTAACGCCCAATTATTATAGTGGTATACGGAATTCTCACTCCATTATTGGGTCAGGTTGTACGTTCATCCTAACCTTGCATTCTAATGACCTTCATTTTAGTTCATGCCACAGGGTAAAGTATTAGATAAAATAGTACGATCCTGGTGATTAACTAGTTGGCAGACAATATAGCCTGCAAGTGCGATAGAGGACTGGATACTCTACCTGTCTTCTAAGACCACAGTAGACAACAGCTGGCGATAAGCATATTAGACTTCTTCTAACAACTATCAGATGTGCGATCCCAAAAGTGTTCAACAAGTGATGTCTAGGACGAAAGTTACCTCATAGTTATGCAGTTTCTAGAATGTACCCCGTGCGAGCATTACTAGAATGCGAACAGACGCTGTGCGCATTAGACCCGATAAACTTGATATGAGTTCCACATGTGCATTTTGATAGGTTGTCAAGGTAACCTACGTGGTGCAAAGCGTAGTGTGTTCATCACACAAAATACACATCGTGATTCAAATCAAAGCAATTCGTTGTCGCAGTATTCACAAGGCCTTAAGAAGCTACAATGAAGGCCCCGTGGCACTAGACGGGAAACATATAGCCTCCTACATCTTTTAATTTTCGGACTTTGGGCTTCCGCACAGAAACCTATTAGGCTGCAATCGTAAAATGGACTTCAATGCGCTTCTCACCCTGGGAGATACGCTTGGAGTTTTCAAGATCACCCTAAAATCCCCTGCAGATAATTGTAGTTCTGCAACCCTCATCAATGCAGTACAAACATAAGGCGGGTGCTTCAATTCTTGCGCAAGTATTGACCAATTTTGCAACACAGCGTAATCGGTGTACGCGAAGTTGCACGCGTCTGGTCCCACAGCTAGTGCACATGACGCCAGTGTGGGAGTTAGTAGATGTCCGAAGTAGGAGTAACAACACCGTTGTGTCCACTAACCAGCGTCATCAATCGACAACGTATGGGAGCCACAGGTGAATCACTCATGAAATTTAGTTGATGGAGCTATCTAGCAGACTCCTTCCGAAGGTAGCTGATTACGCCTGAACAAGAGGAGTGACAGTGTCAAAACGTCGTTAAAGTTTGCTGAGTCCGAAAAGTATCCCAGGTAAATGGTGGAATGTTATTATGCCCCCTAAACCAAAGGCAATTCCACGGTATAACATGCTTTTAAACACAGGTTGGTCATTGACATAGCTAATTAGAGAGAATGACCTAAGCACGGAGCGCAGCACAGTCAATGCAACGGATTCGGAATAGCAGTATTATTCTGACTATTGTACTGCCTAACGAACACAGGAGTTATGTGGGACCAAAACTCCATGATGGATCTGCTTTCCACTCCCGTTGTTCCTTTCTATATGAAATTTACATGGCCTCACCGCTCTCACTGGCTTCAGGTGAATCTAGTTTCCTAACCTTTACAAAAGAACTGAGATCATCCTGTTCGCCTGTGTTAATATATGTTATCGATTGTCAACACAGTTTATATTAAGATGTGTCAAATGGAGGGGTTACTGAGCTAGTCGTTGCGTCGCAGCTAATCCAAGTCCCCGTGCATTAGAGAGACAGGGTCTGTGTATGGGCAGGCAGAACCCACTATGTGTTTAAGCTAAATGTAAACGTTATCATACTTGGCAAAAGCAGCTGTTTGCTTTAGCGATGTTTGTTAACGCAGGACAGAAACTGGGTTTCTGAAGGGTAACTTGTCAGCAATCCTCATTTGGAGTAAAGCAGTCATTTGCTGTTTAATGTGCCCACAAATACATAATGTTTCACTATACAGCCGTAACTGTGTTGTATCGCTGTGTGACCACAACAGATTAGTTCACACACGATACAACGCCACCTGAGATTCGACTACACTGTACCATCTTTCGGTGACCGCCCTACTAGCGGAAGCCACAGGTGATACTTACCACCAGTCTTCAGTCGGTAGAGGAGAACGGTTGCGCTGTAATTGCTTTATATTTATTTGCTTAACGTACATAGCCTGTGTGTTTAAAACTGAGCTGAAACATACATCTTTTTCTTTCTGACTAGCGTCATTGTGGTATCAGATAATAAACTACTGCAGTGACCTCACTCCTTAGGGCATACATCTTTTACACATGTCTGCCGCAAAATTCCGAAGTGTACGATCAAAGAGCATACTGACGCAACATAATGTCAAATAATTGGCTCTATGTGTTCTACGGCGCAAAAGCATTCGTAAACGACGTAAATTTATATTAGGTTGTAAGTTTCTCTACTAAGTAGGATAGATTGTTTTTCAGTTCATCTTTGTCCTAATTTTCTGCATAGTTGATCAAAAACAAGCTTTTCCTTACCTTTTTCAGATTCGTTTTGCTTTTGGCATTCTGGTCAAACCTTCCGGACAAATGAAATAGGACTGCCCTACTTCGACGTCGTTCGTATTTATACACTGTTGAGGGTTCATCACTAGATCCGTCACTAGAAATGTCGCTGTCTTGCTCCAACAACCGATTATCCCTATCCGGCTGCAGCTCATGTGGGTATGGCGTTCCATGAACCACCGGTGGTTCCTCCATCCTTTGCACACCTCCTTCAACATTGATTGATTTGGGGTTCGATGGCCTGTGTTGACTCATACTGGGAAGTGTTGGTGATTGCAATGCCGTATTCATGAAGACTTTGTGACAGCTATTCTCACTGGTAATTCTCCCTTTTAAGAGATCACCACCTGTCCTTTGACTGGGATTAGTTAACTCAACTGGTGAAACAAGCCTTGGTAGCTGAGATCTTCTTGCGTGAATATGGTCCAATAATTTATTCGTTCGGAAGGAAGCAGTGCCTAGGGCCGCGGCGGTAATCGTAGTTGCCAGACCCGCCGATAGAAAACTTCCTTTCTCAGCTTTTATGTGATTAACAAGTTGCACAGGTTGTCGGTGGGTCAATTTGTGTTCCTTATCCTCATTGAGGTCATTTTGGGGATCTGCGTCGAAGTAACAACAACAAAGTAGACACTTCTATGAAGTATGCATTTAAACAAAATTACAAATTTTCTCTGTTCGTTCCACCTCATTCACACCAACAACTATAGGCTTATTATTTGCAGGCACAGATTAAGGAATAATATTAAGCTGCATATTCCCACAAAACATTATTGATTCAAAGGTTCCGGCGTCACGGAAACGCCTGAAGCAAAGCAAGCACACTCCTCACTAGATCGAGCAGACAATTATCGTTTGTTTACTTAACATTAACTCTATTGATTTTTGACTTGAAGGTTGAGAATTTTGTACTGCTTTCTGATGCAGGAGGATGTCATGCTCTTAGTCGAAAGTGACATTCAAAACCAGTTTGAATTCCAGATAGATATGGAAAAGCGAATTACTTCGGCAGCATTGCATGATAAAAAAAACCTGTTGTAATCGGTCGACTGCGTTCCATTCCTGTGTTCCACTTCATTGCTAATGAAGAGAACGCATTATGGGCCCGGTTGAAAGATCTACCTACTAGCCGTCGCAAAAGTGATTTGCTTAACGTGCGTAAGCTAACGTTTACAAAATGGTGCCGAAATGTTCGCTGCACTGGCCAGAAACCTCAATACGAAAGGATGAAAGATATCCTTATAGAAAATGTGCAACAGTTTAAACTGGTAAATAAAAATAATCGGAAGCAAAATTTGTGTCATTAAACTAATATGGATCCAACAGTTTCAGATAAACCGTTTTTCTAATTGCGGGGAGCAAAAGATCTTAAAGATGTCATCGAAACACCACGTGTGTGTTAAAACGTCTGAATCAGATTATCCATTGGAAGATTTGAAATAAGATGTTCTGCATTCCGTCCATCAGTCCGGCATGTTTGCAACCATCAACGATGCAGTGCGTAGTCAGAAGCGTAAATCCACTCCTATTATTGCACAAACCACACAGCAAAATTATTTGCCTCAAAATATCGGGACCAGAAGAGACAAATCGAGGTCAATTTTTGCTACAATTTCCGCTTCACTGCCTTCCCATACACAGCCTGGAGTTCTCTTAAGTGAAGGAAAGGTTGCACTGAAGCAGTCACCAAGTTTCACTAGTTAATTTTATCAAGAAACAAATCCCGAGCATATGGTCTTTTAGAAATTGCAACACGCACTCTTTGCGTGTTTTTTGTTGAAGAAGGCACAAGTTCACCGAAGATCGTAGCTTACAATCTGACCATCTCTGGCGGCGTTTTTGCTACGCATCCACACACGTGCAAAGAACACACGCAGTGTCTGGAGTTTTTTGTCAATAGGGTGCGCCAAGACTTTAGGTACAATGGGCTCGATTTAGGTGGCCTGCCGAAAACTTCAGGTAACTCTTTTCGTCCACTCAAGAAAACGACGCATCCATGGTCCATAAATCTTTCATTTTATAACCAAATGTTTCGATCACTTTGTTCACCATAACAAATTTGCTAAAACATGACATTATTCTGGTTAACTAGGAAAAACGTTGTAACATTGACACTTCCACGAAACCAATAATGTAGAAATGGACCATTTGGGAAAACGGTGACACGGTTATAGATAGGTATGATTGACATTAGTTGAGTGAGTGGATTGTTTTATTATTGTAAACAATATCTGGATGAAGCGTCGGCTAGTTGAATTTCAAACCGTGAATAATTTAGGTGTAGCCAGAAGAGTGCTGGATTAATTGACAAGAAAAGACAGATCATATTATCTTGCTAAGCCACCAAGTCTATAAAAACACTCATGCAGTGTCCGAATGTTGATTAGGTGCCTTGCGACAGCTGCGAGAACGCGGCAGACAAACGTTAAGACGAAACTACCGAAACTTGATCCTCTCTGACATTTGCGTCGACGTCAGTTTGTTGCCTTCAAAACACTGTCAGTGGGATCAATAAAATGAACACATACGGAGCCCTCGATATACACAAATAGCTAAAAACGTGGCCTCTACTGCAGGGTTTCGCAACGATTTTTGCCTGTGGACCAATTTTTAGTGGAACCTCCAACAACGGACACCCTGATATATTGTTAACCGAGGGATTAGGCTTTAATAAAATGAGAATGAAGAAGATTGTCCTGGAAATGTTTATTACTATACACTAAATTAACACGAGTGTTCATTAATCATTGTACAACATGAAGCTGTTGAATATAAGCAGTAAAAAGAATGTATATTAATGCCTCATATTTCTGACTTTCATCGCAGAATTGCTCGATGTTTGGTGATATTGCATAAAGCTGCAACCTCATATCTGATTCCGCTTCAAGTCTATTGCGATACTTTGTTTTCGTACAGGTATAATGTGAAAACGCACTTTCATACAGAGAAGTTTTGGCAAATGGGAGAAATAAGGCGACGGGTGTCTTCTCTAGGACAGGATACTCATCCTTCGTTTTACACTAGAAATCGGACAGCGCCAGTTTGTGAAACTCTTCCTGTAGGGAAGAATCTGATTTCATGTAGATGGATTTCTCATACTGAAGATTGAAAGAAGAAGACCTTTTCATGCAAGTCAATGGGTTCTTGACCTATGAACCATACTTCAGATTTTCCTTATCTTCACTGGGGAGATGCTGAGGCAAGGCTTCGGTCAGGTTTTCCAAATATTGCAAATTTTACTCAGAGATCCTCTTGGATTTTTGCCGTTCTTCCTCAATTCTAAACTGTCTTTTAATGCCGGCAAACTGTCAAGATCCTTACTGCGAACAATAGTCACCCAAAAATCTAACTTTCTTTTGAACCCGCGAAATTTATCATTCAAATGAAAGTTGGTGGCACTTTTTTCTTGCAGGGTTGGGTTATGTCTTTTATTGTTGTGAAGATATTGGACAGAAAGTTCATTGCTGACAAACATTTGCTGTCAGTCTTACTTCACGGTAAATCAAAATGACGAGCCATGAAGAAATGGAAGAATTCTGTACTTAATTCTAACAAACGTTGTATTATATTGCCACAGGAGAGACATCTTACTTCAGTGTGGATTAGTACATCTGTGTGAACACACACACACACAGGGTATTGAACAGTCGGTTGTTATGAGGCCGAAATTTAATGAACTTAATTATTATAAATGCCTCATTGATGATCGTTTTTTGACTGCGTGGCATTTTTCTTATGGCCAGTACTAGTCAATAAAGAATACATTGAATAATTGTATAGGTCCTCGCCACGGTTTTGATTAATGTCACAACACCAGCGATTTTTCTGTCATCGCTTTGACCCCGTCAATGCAAATAACGATGCAGTTGTCCGTTGGAATATTGTCGAGAATACAATTATTCACAATTTTGCACATCTTAGTGCCACTAGTGTTTTTCGGTAAAGGTTCTTCCAAAACACCTCTTATTTCAGGGCTAGTAGTTGCTGGTACCTTACAAGCACAATCAACACGGCACATCCTGGCATTTGAGGAAGAAACTGAGTTGGTCTGATGTATAAGTTTCACCTCGTTAACAACAGGTGTTAGCGTCTTAATTCATCTAGATAATATATCATTTGATAGTAGTATTACAAATAATTTTCTTACTGATTTTTCAACCTGCATACACCTAGTCATTTCAACTGCACATGGCTTTATAAGTTTCTCGGCTATCGTGTGAGGTCCTGCTGTTAGTATACTGCAATAACTAGCTGTACAAGATGCTTCAGTAGACTATTCTTTTATAGTCTGAGACGCGTGAAGCGTGTAATTTTAGGTGTCCAACCGTTCATCTCGCCTTCGCCCAAACTATTTCCGTTTTTATCTGTAGTACGCATGCACTTTGTTCGAAATGCCACCTCATTTTTAAAGGTACCAGCGAATTTATCAGAAGAATTTTGTTACATATGACCCACTATGCACAACTGTTGCACAACATAAATCCAAAAGAAATAAAAATGCGGTTGTATTTACTCCACTTATCTACTGATACAGAGACTTCGGTTGGCAGAGAGTAATCTTGCATCGCATCAGGTAGAACAGTTACATCGAATGTCTCGTTTTCTGGAGTATAAGAATGCATATCACATGACACAACCATTACTACACCTCACTTCGAAGATGCATATTTCTGTGACATATTTATCCATGTCACTGTCTTCGGCCAACGGTTCTTGTTGATGTCCAATGTACACGGACCATAATGGAAATCGATAATTCAGCACGAGTCTAGAACACACCTCAAACTCGTTTTACTATGTTGTCGTAGTTTGAATAAAGATTCCAATAAATTAACCAGAACAGACAGGCATTTTTAACGTCGCACAGATAGTTTCTCTTCAATTCGCAAAGCCCAATAGGCACACTCATTAAACAACGAAATACCCACGCTTTTCTTTTGGGCGTTCCTGGTTAGGATCCCGCCAATGGTCCCCATCAAGCGATGACTTGGTTCAGAGGAATGAAGTCCATCACTTCGGAGCTGGCCTCGGTTGGAGCTTCACGGCTCCCTGGTTGGGGTCCAAAAGACGGTGAACACGCTTGGCTGGATACACTTGCTGACATGGCAAGGAGCCGACCTCAGTGGCGTTCCTGCTGTGAGTTTCTTTGTCCCTCCCCATCCCTTTTAGTCTCCCCCTCCATCTACGATCTCATCTCATAAAACATAATAAATAAATAAAAAAATTTCTTTTTGCCTAGTAGCTGGCTGGATGCTTACCGGAAAGATGCCTATCCGTTGCTGGTAGCTCAGCTGGCATGCAACTGTTATATCTATTTTTCCTTTGTGTATTGTGTTATATGTATGTATGTATGTATTTCTTTCATGTATTGCGGCACAATAGCGGAGGTGTTTTCCTACCTCTAGCTGATGTGTATAATGAATGAATGAATGAATGGGCCCCATTATCCGATTTGCCAATTTCGGAGAAAGGCGACTTCTAAAATGGCCGCCTAAAAGGGGGTCATACCACATTAATAACTTTTCAGCTCCTCCCGGGGAAAAGACTGGGTTATGGTTGAAATAACCACATTACATTTCTGACATTTTACACCCAGTGGATTCCGCGAAACACACTTTGAGAATCATTGCTCTACTGCAATAGTATGCACCAGCTTGATACTGCTCAGCACGAAAGTTCTAAAACTGAAGCTATGTTTGTAGCCACGACGAAACGAAAGTATTACATCCAATTTATGCGTAAACTTGCAAATGCAGCTTATAAGCACGGATCAGTGACTTACCAACCATCTTTTCTTCCGTAGTGATATCTTTGTGAGAAACCAGAAAAAGGACCACTTGACTCTTGTCATTTTTGATCGGTACGATGTCCAGTAAACACTTAAAATTCTCTCCTTGTGTGCAAGTGCAAGGGAAAAGAAATGGTTTTAAAGACAATATAGATAGCTGACGGTCCCACCAATGGAGCTTAGCAAACAAGGCTGAATTTCTATCTTACATTTATGGTTCTTACAAAAATTAAAATGTAACTTATGAATAACTAACTAAATTGTTTGTCCTCAACAACAAGAGGCAAGCACGCACAGCCATGATCAGGGTAAGAGGGAAACGAGTGGTGGGGAAATGTACAAAATACAACTTTGCCATTTTAGTGGATGCACGAATATTGTATATATATATATATATATATATATATATATATATATATCAGTGTGTATGTGTGTACTTGACTTTTCCATGCGATTTACCAGAAAGAGAAATCTTTCGCGTCGACGACATGACAGATATTTTTACACCACAGTCAATCCGCTGTGCGTAATAATTCTACGCGGTACGTAAGCGGTTTTGCTAACTTACGGTGCTTGAAAGAATGGTAGGCCTGTCGGTAAGCAAAGAAAACCCGGGAAAAGTATGGACCTAGATACCAAGCGGTTGCGTTAATAAAATCTTTGGAATTAATGCTAATATACACGCCAACGTATTTCTGTTAATACAGTTAGCCGTAGTACTATTCCAAAACTGTGGTCTTTGTCACTTGGATGTGTAATCTGGTTGGTTAAAACTAATAACAACACAGTCTTAAAGTTTATTTTTCATCAACTTGTGAGCTTCTCCAATGTTTTCGATTCTTTTAGCAAAAACGACGTATTGCAGTATTACCATTTTCGACTTAAAGTGCGCCACGAAAATAATTACAAAATGTTTCAGCTACTCGAGTTAAGAAGCTCAGCACTTATTTTTGGATGTATGTTTGTCGGAAATTTGTTTGCATCCAGTCTCGCATGCGTACACCTGCTACATTTGGCCTAATCTACACTGCTGTTGTCTGCGCTCTCAAGTTGCACTAAAATGATAAGCCTAGCGTTATCGCGTGACTAAGCTGGGCAGAAATTAGAGTTGACGAGATTGCAATTTTACACCCTCTCTCGGTTGTTTTGACAATCACATTCAGGCCAATGGTTTGAAGCTTCCACTGACAGTTCGTTTACCCTCACCTGTGTGGATGACAGAATTGTGACTGCGATTTACTTATCACTACTCTGTCTAGAACAATTGTACCGTAAAGTTTAAGCGTGCCTATTGGAGTGAAATCATCACCAAGGCTTTAGGTGTCCAAATCGAAATATTCTAACCAGACACAGACAACAAGTTGTTTAATCTTCTATGTGTTGTTACACTATTAGTTCAGCTTTCAGAATTGGTTTACACTGCAAACAGTATTTATCTTTTTGAGTGAGCGAAGTCGCTCTTTAACTGTCGTGAGATAAGCTTTTATTTCTTCAGTTTTTTAAGGGACATGAAGAAGTATTTTATCATAAATACCCTGTTCACTGAAATGTCGAGCACCGTTCGGTTGATACCACTGTGTGCGCATCACGTGTGTGCGTTTAGCAGGTTGCTTGTTCATCCAGTCCTGTGCGAAAGTTGATTGCTATTACTCGAAGTTATGTACTGAAAGATTACGTGCATGCACTATCTATTAGAATATCTAAATATGTTGCAAATTGCAGTGGCGGGTTATATTTGATGACGGCGTATAACCCGAAGCTACCCTTGGTGGCTGAAGCTGGTTTCAATAGTGAATCAGCGTTAATAATTGCGGGTTTAGTAAGGTTAGTTGCTGAAACAGCGTGAGAGAAGCCATCACTATTTTTCTGCTCAAGTGATGTCCATTTGGCAAAATTTGCCAGTGCTACTCCGGCTGGCAGCATCTTTGTCTTGCCTAAACGGGGCACTTGAGTATGGGAACCGAACTGTGCGTTTTACCTTTCGTACTCCAGGGTTGTCTGCAGCTATGGTCTTCCGGTTGATTTAAACAAACTAAATACTATTAACCGCCATAATAAAGGCCAAAATTTACCAATTATCTCCCCTTAAGCACAAAAATGGATTGCACCAAATATTCCTTGATTCGTTGGCGCTTTAAATTTGGGCTCATCAATAACGAAGATAGCTGAATGGCCTCACTTGCAAAGCCAAACCCATTCACTGACATGGACCTAGGTACTCAGTAAAAATTTCATTGACTATTCCATACTTGGATGTGCCCTTGAGTAGGGGATTTTGACATAATTAATTGAGATTCTTCGCATTGAGCTACCAAATCAGCTAGTAGTCCACGTGCCCGGAAAATCACTAGACTGCAAGTGCAGTCTATTGGGTATCATCATTAGTGCGCATGCATCAGATCCATCAGGATTCGAACACTGGACCACCAGCGTTTTGAACCGCCCCTCAGCAGCTTATGCCACTGGGACACGGGGGACATCTTCAAGCTACCTGCGACATAGCACGTCGTATCCTCCATTGCCACTTTCGAGTGGGAGCATGAGCATGTTATCTGTACAAATTCACTGTGTAGCCTTGGAGAGCAAATGACTCCTTGCTACAGATTGTTGACAAGCGAATAACCGGACAGTTGGTGGGTAATGTATAAAAGTAAATTGGCCACGTCATGTCACTCAAAGAAGGCCAAGCCTCACAACTTCGAGCTTCAATACTTGCATGCAGGTGAAATTATTCGTTTAGAAAAACCCGATGTAAACAAAAAAGTAAAAGGCCCCATTAGGACAACAACAACCACAACAGCAGATGTTTATGCACTGATGAGCACCTGTCATTTTAGCATCCGCTGCTAATAAACCACCCTAACATTATGGCTGTTTTTAACTTCCTTACGTTCGCACTTCAAGGCAAAGGAGTCACTGCGCCCAAAAAATCAACGCCAATGATTTCCAGCACATGATACTACTCTTTATTGCGTTATATATAACTGGTCTTTCTACGCCCAGTCTGAGCTTTTCTTGGCGATCGTCCAGATAGTGGGAACAGCTCATCTGATTCGGCTTAGCAATCTGTACACTGCTATGGTGTTTACACAACGTTTGCTAACGGCTAAACGAGCGTCGCTCCTGCAGTTTTGGTATCCTGAAAGGAATATTGGTTCCATGTCATGGAAACTTTTATATTTATTTGGGCTAAAACTTCTGCTTAATCCACTCTGGTTGCGGTAAGTTTCGCTGGACATCAGCCCCAGTTGGTTAGTTACCACCGTTTGTATTTTGATCAGAACTCTAGTTGCCAAACTGACGTTGCTATTTGCCAAATAGTATGCTGGAACCAAAGTAGCCTATCAACTGCATCTTGAGCAGTTTGTGATGAGTTAGCATATTAATGCCCTGCGAACTGCGCGTGATGCAGGTATTTGATGATTATTCGTATCGAGTAGCTAGGAGGGAAAAGTAAGTACAACTCTGCAGAAGGGTGCGCGGCAGCTTTAAGAATATTTGGCGTAAGTGGAAGATAATTTTAGTATAACTCGGAGACCAATGCACCTGCGCCACATTCCAGTGCATTCGTGAGCCGTAGTCAAAACCGAATAGAGTCGTATGGTTGAGTTATATCGGATAATCCAGACGCCATCATGTCCTTGAACTTGTGATACGACAGGATGATACGAAGGAAGTTATCCGGCGCTAAACCGCTCACCGTAATTTAATCTATACTTTATCTTAGAGTGATTTGCATTTCTGCGTTTCCAAAAGGACAGCAAATCTATCATTTAGAGGCATAGATTACTCACAAAACGGCTGCTCAATGGAGGAAAGGACGAACAATCAAAAAGCGGACCCTTCACATAAAATGCAGCACGGCTATGTGCCTCAGTATAATGTTAACTAGTAGAAGCAAGCATAATTGGTTGATATTAAACCCTGGCTTTTATTAGTGTTGTGCTAAGCTCATAGAAATGGGATGATAGATATCCTTCCTACCCCACGTGACCACAAAGCAGCGCACATGTACCAAAGGTTTTGCTCTTGTCTGGAAGCTAGAATTCCTCTTCGCTTTCACGTGACACAGCATGTAAGGAGTATAGAAAATCTATAACGCCAATGTGGTGTATGTAATATATCACCTCACTTTGTCATCCAAAAAGGAAATTAGAAATTTGCGCTTCCAATGGCACTGGACATGTCCCGCTGAACCAAGATTTTTGTGTATGTTTTGCCTGCTTGTATTGTGGATCATTCGGATGGCCCTGTACTAGACACGGCACTGTCATCGTTTCATTAATGATCAGTTTATAAAGCTTCTCATCTGCTCTATTCAAAAAGCAGTGTGAGTACACCTAATGCCCCAATTATAGCTCCACTTCAGCATATTCGTGGCTGATCTCTTGTAAAATATTTTAGACGGGACGGTCACAGCATCCACCAAAAAATTATCCGGCTGCCTAATGCATCGCATTTAAAGATAGTATAATATCCTCCGCTCTAAGAAAAGTTGATTTACCCGATCGCTTGTGGAAATAGACTTGAAGTTGCAGTTCGACTTTTTTTTGCAACGCTGATGTAATCGACTCTTTGGCCTCTTCTATGGTCTTTTCACCCCAAAGAAAGCTGCATGAGCAACAGCGTGACATAATCTGCGAGCGACTGAACCCGGTTAGTTCAACGAATCCGTCGGAACAGTAGACGATTGGATGGTGTCGTACTTGTGCGTTCCCCAGTACGAAGTTGCTATCTGTAGTGGAGGACAGTTAGACAGAACAAAAAGCAAACTGACGGCAGCGCACAAAAGTCTGCAATTACCTGTGAACCAAGAGGGATAAAAGCAAACAACCTACGGCTTTTTATTGCCCTGATTTAAATGATATCCAATTATTAGCGCAGCTAGTTAGCATTCATTTGGTGCCAAATTTTTGCATGGGCATTCATGGTATCTGTGAATCACCCATATTAACACCTCCAGACTGGTGCTAGAACAATACGTCATGTATTCTTTAAACTGTGAAAAACAAATCACTGGAATTTTGTATACATTGTATTCAGGTATGGATCGATTTAACCGATAGATGCTAAATGACCTGGAACACGTAAAAATCCTCGGATGAGTCACAAACCAGCAAACAGGTGACTTTGCTGAGGCCTGGTATCCAAAGCGGAACTTGATCCATAAGCACTTAGGTCTCGCAGCTACTTACGAGGCTCTGTGAAACAGGAGCTTAAAGCCGCACTGAGGATGTTGCCTAGTCTGGTAGTGAAACATCTGCAAAATAATCATTCAGCGCGGACAGCAGTGCAACTACCACACTCTTGAAGTAATGTATATTGGGCTACAGGTCAGACTAAATCACAATGACTTGATTTCACTAGTTTCATAGAAATACACAGAACATGTGGGCATGTGTGCAATTTGGATATTCGCACGCGGAAATAATGCCCAAGAATACGTAAGTTCAATACCGTCTAAAATTTGCCATAACAGGTAGCAAAACAGTGAGGGTGTAAGGCAAGCAGGTTCAGGGCAACCTGCGTGTCGTTCTTTCTGGTCGAGAAGGTCCTTTGATTCCCTGTACCGGTTAGACTCCAACTCGTGTGCTTTCGAGTTAAGAATAAAGTGCTTTCCGTCACTTCTGAACTCATTCAGACAGCCAGAAAATATTCAAAATTACACTGACTGAACATTCTGTTCTTTCGAGAACCGTCGGCAGTAAAGTTTCATCTGTCCGTGTGACTGGAATCCGTGAGTGTACCCCTAGGAATCCGTAGGGACAGAAACAAACAGGGTCACTTAGCTACTCGTTGAGGCACATCGGGCACAAACCTATGCAGGGTATCTCCCAGAGCAACGGTTTATTAAATTTAAGTAGCGAATAAGCTTGTGACCCTACGGTTAGTATGGGTAGAGTACTGCTCTCAAACAATTAGTGCGCGAAACTGGGAGCTCTGAGCTCGCCGTGAATTGTGCACTGAGCAGTTTAACTTCTACAGATTGTTTTGCATCGACTTCGATTTACTTATGACACGTGATGATTTTACCAGCTGGTAAAATAAACTCCATAGCTTTCACCACCAAGACAGCCAACCCCTTGGTAAAACGAACGCTCCTAGTTGGTATATTTATTGCATGGCCTACATTGGGGGAGCAATTTCAAATAATTCGCCTCAAAGTTAAGTTGTTATAAAGCAAGGTTAGAAAAAATGGTGGGAAGCTTCGACCTTACGTCTGGTACTACGCTTACAGGCCATTCTTTGAAGTCATACTAACTTGACAACTAATTACATCGTTTTCCTTCTACACTAACAATAGTGGTTTTACGTGATATTGTTCTAGCTCAACCTGACGTTTCAGAGTTAGCACAAAATACGTGACGCATGTCATGACAAGGCTCAAGATAATATCAGACTTTTAGGTAGAAGTTTTGTCCATCCTAGTACACTGAGCCGAATTGTCCCAGTTTGAGCAAATAATACCCAATGTTTCAGCCGTCATATAAGAGAGAGGAATGGCAACTTAGATCTATCTTCACGCTGTGCGTTAGAGCGCTTTGTGCACTGAACCTTGTAGCAGCTGCATGGTTGAGGCCACAGGAGACACCCAAACCCAACCGGGTTTATATATATATATATATATATATATATATATATATATATGTATAATGAAATCTTATTTTTGAAAGGTATTTCCGTGTCTTTACGAGGTAACAGACATGCGTTTGCTTGCTTCCGGTTGGAACAACAACATGCTGACCAGAAGTGAGGGCAATTCCGATAGCACTTTGAGAACATGCAGCTAGGGAGGTGCAAAATCACGACTTCTCAAGACTATGAATTATGACATCGGTGTCAATCAAACACTGACAGTAACTGGAGATCGATTTTGAGCTAAATAAGAGACCCAAAAAGGTGTTTTAATAACAAAGGCTTTATTAAAATACGATTACTTAACTATCGAGGACAAGAACACCAAATTTATCTGGAAATTTTTATGAACGCTAATGGGCAGGGGTTGGTTTACGTCCACCATGTTGAGTATGCGATGTGTATGTTACAATGTTGTCATGTGCCGGATGGAACTCTGGCAGGTCGAGTATACTTAAACGGATGGAATGACTTAACTGACAGGTCCATTTTGAGCGGTACACAAGTTGATTTATGAAAGCAGTATGTCCCATTTATACTCAACAATTGTATATATATACAGTCACGATATTTCTTTGCGAAGCAGAGTGAAGATATAAAATTTATTTTTCACCAAATCTATGACTTACTCTTCCGATTGCTCTAAAGGCTAAGCGAACTAGCTGACTTACGAGTGCCGTCGAATCGAGAAGCAATAGTATCCAAAAAAGTGTTTTGAGGTGCAACGAGTCCCTTTCGCTGGGGCATTCCAAGGTGGCATGAAGCAACGAAGTGTTGGTACGAACTTAGTCCTTAGCTTGAAAATACGGCGAAAATCCTACACTTGCCGTAGATGTAACAACATGGTTGAAATTATGGAAATTTTGTTAACCGAAAATTTTCCATTCTTTACGTCAATCCGGTTTCTTGACGTGATTGGTTGGCGACTGGCCAATCGGATTGTTTCTGTGAGGCAAGCTGTTGGGCGAGAGATCATGTAGGTAAGCGCATACCATTAAAGCTACTCTGACTTCGTTAGGACATTTTCAATCTGAACTCTTCGCTGGAAGACGTTTAGTAAAGCAAAACTTGTGTAGCTTATGAGAAGACAAGAGAGGATACAGTGTAATTGTAATCCTAACTGCGTCGTTGAAAGTTCCTCTAGGAACACATGAACTCTTCAACTGCATCCTACATTTAAATTTCAACTCACATCTTGATTCACCCATGCATATACGCAACGTCTGTTTACCTAGATTGAAATAATGGTCTAGAAGGCTTCCCAGTTTCTGTGAACCCCATTGTTAAACCCAGATTATCCAGCTGTTCATATTGACATGTTTGAATTAAATCGATGACGCGCAAAGATATAAAGCGCATGACATAGCAAATTATCATTTAGCCACAACAAATATGGGGTACTTGATGACGAAAAGAGGTTTATTTTCTCTTTTATTCATCGTTAGCGGTTTATGTTGTCACAACTGAATCCCGTGTGACAGCAAATTACACAATTTAAAATGCACTCCAAAGTGAATTTCGTTCCGAATGTTGTCACATATTTCACGATACCACTAGGCTGTAGTTTATCGTTTAAAAGCTTGGCAAGTTAGACCAGCACTATGTGAAACTAGAGAACTATAACTTTTGGACTTGTTATGAAGAAAACGCTTCTTCTTGAATTGCTTTATATTACGATTAAATCGCATTTTGTCGAGGTAGGTAATAGTAGCACATGCATCCTTGAGAAAGCAACAGCCGACTGGTTTTTTAGGTAATAATTGGTGTCACGTGTGTTAAATTAAATAATTGGTCGAACAACCACATGCCATGGGATTGCAAAGTGGAAGCTTTAATTCCGATTTACTAACTTGTCATAAGACTTTCTAAATCTCTGCCATGAAGATAGAAGGAATTGGCATAGTTCTAAGCAGAATTTATTCGGTAATCCGTTAAACAGTTGTCTCGCTATAGCTAACACAAGAACATGAACCAGATCAAATATAAATGTTTATTCTATCTGATAGCAACCCATACGGTGGGGGAGTGCCGCACACTTGTGCATTCGTTGCACTTTTCGGATCTACTCCGTCGCATATTTTCGCACACCACAGGCTTCACCGTTTTACTCCCTGAATTAACGAGGGCAATATCTCTAAATGATTATCTCTGGAATGCAACCAACACATGTCCCAATTTGTTGTTTTACGTCGATGGCGTCTCTCTGGCAGCTTAGAGTAGATGCCTTGAGCGTTGGTATAGTAGCATAGTGTTTGTTGACGAAATAGGTGCTGCATTCGCTGTGTTTGACGTCACTAATAGTGTCGGTGTGCTGACATTTTTTGACAAGCGTGTTGTTACGGTGGACTGGTCTGAGGTAGGAGCAGCAGATATTGGCTGATCTCTAACCGGTATCTCTACTGCTTGACGAAATGGTCTTAACCGTAGGAGTGGTGGCCCAAGCTTCCTGTTGTCATGCCACACTTGGATTAGCATGGTTACCATCTCCGACCTAGCGTAACTTTCAAAATCTGTTGCCCGCTGTCGTGGTAGTTTTGGAAGGCGACTAAAGGAGTGATTTGAAAAGCGGCGAAGTGTTGCATGTTGTAGAGTTCTGTAATGTACCTCCACTCTTCGATGTCATGCTTTTGTCGTGCACTGTTATCGTCACGCTTCAAGTCTGGTACACCGTGAATCAGTAGCATTTCCTTCTTCTCACTTTGACCTGACACTTCTGGGTCAGATGACCGCTTCTGTCTTTCTGCCCAAGGCTTGTCCGGAGAAATGCGAGCATTGACAAAAGAGTTCACTGGAATGTGGCGGGATAAGAGAACACCTTCCAGATCCCGTGTGTTGCCAAAGGTTATTCGCAGCAACCGATGTTTCCCTACGTGCGGACCTGATGGATTACCTAAAAGACGAGTAAGTATAGTTGGGGGAACTTTCACTCCGAGTGCACAGGTTATCTCAGCCCAGCGGATTTGCTCCTCAGTTTGTCTAGCTTTTAACGGTTCAATGGTGGGTTCTGGGATGTTTGAACACATCACTGTCAACCTTTTTTACTGCGTAGTAACTGTTTGTTCTGCGGTTCCTTGTAAGCGGAGATTTGTCGTGTTGTGTATTCGGCTTGCCTTCCATGGAAGACAAGCCAAAGCTACAGCAAGACTGTATAAGTGCAACGCTTTTGGTTGCACTATCGTTAGGAGTCAAGTGTTGTTACCCAGCTAACGAGGGAGGTGAGTGCATATATTTTGCGCAACTCTGCATGCTTTGCAGTATTTCGTTAGCTTTGATAGACCGTTCAACCGTGCTGTCTTCCCTGTTGTTTGTCACTTACGGTGTTTGCCTTTCGCTGGCTTGTGTAACATTTTTGCTAGAGAGCTTTTGTCTTTTAACTGGTATGGGGTTGGGGCTAGGTAATGCACTAAACTGCAACACAAGTTCAAAGATTTTCCCTCCCATACAGCAATCAGTTGCTTTTGTTCTGTCGACATAGCAGCCAACATTTCACACACAATCGTTAGCGTTTGAACAAATTTAACTATAGGGCTCTCTGAACATATCTCGGAACCACAACCTATCTGTCGATACGCTGCTCCTTTCGTTAAGTTTAATTTTCACATTTGTTGTGCCGCAGGAATTGGCACAGATTGAACACTTGATTTTCGTCATGATCTCTGTTCACGATTGGCTGAGTAACGATTGAAAATGAGTTCGTTATTCGCTAGATTTCCGTTCGACCAACATTCTCCGACCCATGGCTAAATGGTTCGTATGTACTTTTAAGTTGCGCTGGTCACACCGTTTAAGCTGCCGCAATCGTCTACTGCGGTCAGCAGGAATTGTGTCATTGGGTTTAGTAGTGGTGCGTCACTAGGCACACGAGCGGACAAAAGCAAAAGGCGTTGTGCGTTGAAATGCACGTAAACTACGATAGTAAATGTGTGAGAACAAAATAGCCTGTAGCTGCAGTATGCAGTGGTGCCCAGTAGTAAGTTTTATCTTGCTTGGTAGTCTTACAGAATCGCTGTCGAATGATGTCTCAATTGAACTGATGAAATTCGAATAAGCCAGGTTACACCAGTAGGTCTTAGTAAATAGACTTCCGAAGTGGCCGTCTTTGATATACCGGCATGCGCTTAGACTCACTTCGAACTGCTATATTTCATTGGATATAGCTCGGTGATCCGAGTCGATTGAGCGCACTTCCGTAGATCTGGCACTCGAAGGTAAGGACATACTTCCAAGTTGACGTTGAGCACAAGATTGAACGAATGGCACGGGTGTTCCGCATTCCCGATACCTCCGCATACAACGTGGTGTTATTCCAACCGTCGAACGCAATTTTTTTCCCACTGGATAGAGAATTGTAGCAGCGTTCGAACAAACTCGCACTCCTTCCAGTCTAACAATGAGTACAGCAGCTAAGGGTAATATACGTTTTCCCATAGCACAATCCACTCATGGATTCCTCAAGTGCACCCTGATGCTATCTAGAGACCGTCACAAAACCCGTCAAAAGACCACCTGGTGATTTGCCGCACAAGCACACTGACGTATTTGATTGGCACTTTAGGCAAGCGGATAGGAAGTACACCACGCAGTCACATCAGACTTATGGGAACCGTGTGTTCTTGCCGTCAAAGTCGGCAGCACGCGAAAAATGGCCGATTATTAAGGATGAGACAGTCCAATTGGTCGTAACATTCTCTCAAAATCACAACGCCTAGCAGGCCTAAGACTAAACATTTATATGGCTTATGTGAAAACATGTCAAACTAAGCACTCCGTGTTGCAATTGTCATAAAATGTGCCATGTAAAATGCAGCATGCTAAAATCCAGCGACGCATAACGGCAAACTAGAGTCTCTCTAGCTCTGCGTAGCATTCACGTTTATCTTACGGAGAAAAGGCTTGCTCTTACTATTGCAAAGGTGTGATTTACTACTAGCCAGGGTTCTGAAAATGCTGACCACGAATTCACCATGGCTGTTGTTATCCGTAACGGATTATGCAACCCAGGCCTCCCTAGTACGTGCTGCTTCAACCATGAGGAGGACGGCTAGTTACAAATTAGGAAAACGACACGAGTAGCCTGATTAATCAATAGCTGATCCAATACTACGAACGGTTTGAGTTAACCAATGCGATCCGTAATTTGATCGGAGTAATCACGTGCAAGTCTTTGTCCAAGCTCTAGGCTGATGACGTTGCAAGAAAGTGTAGCAAACCAAAAGGTATTTCTTGTTTTATGTACACTTTTATTACTCAGTCCTACAACACTGCTTTTTGTTTTAATGCTGACCCTGCGGCCATTATGAACTGCATCCGGCTCACCACTTTTCTCCACCGTGAGTTCCGGCACTGACGTACGCTCTCGTCGTTTCATTCGTTTTTCGTTCGATTGTAGCCTTCCGCGAATACAATCCGTTGTGTCCGTTTTTCTGGTTTTCTGGCATCCCTACCAGACTAGTATAGACTAGTCCTACAAATTGGTGACCACGGTTTGCATGCCCGAATCTTCGAATTTTTTGATCGCTTCGTTTTCGGTGAGTTCGTTCCGAGTCGTTTTTCCCTAATCCCTGTTGGATTATTTTCCTTCCAGTTCGTTTTTAAAACCATTCGTGTTATTCATATACTATGTCCGACGCCGATATAAAAACCGGATCGGGCGGCAGCATGAATTTGCTCACCTTGGCTATTCCGGATTTTATGGCACACAAGCCCAACGTCTGGTTTGCCGTTTTTGAGATAGAGTTAGAGAACAG